ACTGGATGGCTCTTGTGGTCTCTTCCAACTCTATGATTCTATGATTCAGTCTCTGTTTAAAGACCTCCAAAGAAAGAGACTCCACCACTCTCCGAGGGAGCATATTCCACTGTTGAACAGCTCTTACTGTCAGGAAGTTCTTCCTAATGTTGAGGTGGAATCTCTTTTCCTGTTGTTTGAATCCATTGCTCTGGGTCCTATTTGCTTGCTACATCTTCAACATGACACCCCTTCACATACTTAAGAGCCATCATATCACCTCTTAACCTTTTCTTCTCAAGGCTAAACAGATCTAAGTCACTTCTCAAAGGGCATGGTTTCCAGACCAGCACCAGCACCAGGTCTTTCTTGGCCTTGGTCTCCCATTCACAGACTAACCAGGGCTGACCCTGCTTAGCTTCCATGATCAAACAGGATCTGGTGCTTTCATGATACTGAGTCCCTAGAAGTGAAATTTGCCCATACCAGGATTTGAACCCTGGAGTCTCAGATTAAAAGTCTGGTGCTCTCCTGGCTGAGCTATCCGGCTCTGTAGACCACTGGAGCCAATGGGATTTACCTTTGTGTTGACTCGCCCTTCAAGAATGGGGTCCCTGTGTAGGAGACAGCCCTTTGTTTCTATCATCTGTGATGAAAATTAATGCACATCCATGCAAAATAAAACATCAGCTGGAATTTTTGACAGCGTCCTTAGACTGTCTCCATGTGGCCCTGAGTTTACTATTTGTTCCTACAGACTATACAAGGAGTGTAAGGAGGATTTTTGTGTGTATTTATTATTTCTACAATATGGATGTACCCTCAGTTTGGGGTTAGGAGGCTGCATGGGCAGAACTAGATGGTAAACTTGTATTTCTTACACAGATATTTGGCTTTTTATTCTACACAGACAACATCCTTTCTACCTTACCATAGGTTATGGCATGGATGGGACTTTGGGTGAAGAATGAAGAAGAGATGGCTTTTGGAGGACCAAGAGAGGGAAGTCACGGTTGAGGAATTGGTAAATCAAGATGGAGGAGGAAAGTAAATAAATCCATGCTTTGCAGCTGTCAGCTGAAAAAGCTTTCCCAACTCTTGTCTAAATAGTTAATTCAACCATCTTTCCTGCAAGGGAGAGACATGGTTGTTTGCCAGAATCTTCCATGTTCCTTCTTGACTATATCGTACAGCAATTCCTAACACAGCAGTGGTTTGACTTTGCAGAGTCTTTTTCCTGAGAGAGAAGAAGGAGGGGGTGTAAGTTGGATCCCATTCACTGCTTCATTGCACACCGGTTCAAAGATGGATAAGCCTGATTCATTTCGAGCTAAAGCAGGAAGGGACCCTGATGCCATGAGTCCTGAGAACAGGGGAGAATTCTGGAAGAGAACTGAGCAGACATTCCTGAGTGGGGACTTAACCAGCTCAGACATACAGCGTCAGCACTTCAGGCAGTTCTTCTACGATGAGGGCAGTGGGCCCCGAGAGGTTTGCAGCCGACTCCATGATCTCTGCCACCAGTGGCTGAAGCCAAAGGAGCAGACCAAACATCAGATCCTGGACCTGGTGATCCTGGAGCAGTTCCTGACCATCTTGCCCTTGGAAATGGAAGACTGGGTGAGAGAATGTGGGGCAGAGACTTGTTCTCAGGCAGTGGCCCTGGCAGAGGGTTTCCTTCTGAGTCAGGCCAAGAACAAGAAACGGGAAGAACAGGTTAGATCATCTCCTCTTGATGTCTCTAAAGTTGATACTGAGGGATTGATTTATTGTATATCGAACATTATCTTTGGTATGGGACCTGATGGGTGGATAAAAAGGATCTGGCGGATCTGCTGTATTTCCCACCTGCTGTGCGTTTATTGCTTCCACTACTAACTCTGTTGCTCTTCTACTGAAATTTGATGGCCCCAGAAGTGGCCTAGAAAGTAAGGACTGTGGGGAGCATATGCCTTGTTTTAAAGTGGGATGTCCATTGCAAAGCCCTATTAGGACAATAATCCTCCTTTAATACAAGAGCTAGGCTTCCCATGTCCTGAATTTTCAAAGAAATTCCTGAGGTTCTTGCTGCCATTGCTGTACAGCTAGATGTGGCAGTGTGGTGATTTTGCAGAGGCAACATGTGCTTCCCTCCTCATGGGTTCAGGGGAGAAACTTGTTCCCACTTATACCTAGAAATTGCATGCTCCCACCTTGAGGGATACATTGTACTATAATTATATTTTCTTCCAATGATTGTGCATGTATGAATAATTTAAAAATTATAAAAATTAAACATTATTTTCTAATTGTTCTCCACATTCTCCTTGCTCTTTCAGAGGGAAGTTCAGTCTGATCTCCCTGCATCAGAGAACTCTCCATCAGATACCACCCAGAAGCTCCAGCAGAAGGACCTCAAGCAAGAGGAAGATGGGGCTGTGGCTTCACATAGTAAGAATGAACCCTCTCTGGTGCAATTGTCTTTGTGTTTTATACCTGCTTATTCTTATTTTATTCTTATTTATATCTTGCCTTTTTCCTGATATAGTGACTGATATACCAACAAATTTAAAACAGTATAAATTAAAAACAGTATAAAAGCATTAAAACTGAAACTATAAAGTTTAAAAAACCTTTAAAAAGTTAAACATTCTGTATTTAAAATATTAAAATGTATTTAAAACTCTATACAAATCTTGACATCTGAATCGCATGCTCGCCAGTCTGAAAAAGCCTGATAGCACAGAAATGCCAAAAAGAGAGCAGGGATGGGATCATCCTTACCTCTCTATGGAGGGAGTTCCAGAGCCTAGGACTGTGATGGCAAACCTATGGCATGCATGCCAGAAGTGGCACACAACGCCATTTCACCTGGCACAGCGAGGAGGAGGAGGAACAGGCATGCGTGCGCCCATTGCTTCTCCTCCCAGACATTTCCCAGCCTTCAGCTGTGTCTCAGAGGCAGCTGGGGACTGGGGAAGCTTGGTGGAAGGAGGAACAGGTGCGTGCCTATTCCTCCTCCTCCTCGCCAGGGACCTTTCCCGACTCCCAGCTGCCTCTGGAGGGACAGCTGGGGGCTGGAAAAGCTTGGGGAGAAGAGGAATGGGTGCGTGTCTATTCCTCCTCCTCCCCAGGGACCTTTCCCAGCTCTCAGCTGTCTCTCAAAGACAGCTGGAGACCAGGAAAATGGCGGGGGGGGGGGGGGGGGGGGGGAGGAGGAGAGACTGGCCAGAAAAACTTAGGGCCTAAGCAGACTGTCAGAAATAGTGCACATTAAATTGAGGCACTGCCCTGGCTCAGTGCTAGGGAATCATAGGAACTATAATGTATTGTGGCACCAAAGCTCTCTCACAGAGAAGGCTCAATGTCTCAGAAAAAAATACAATTCCCATGACTCTTAGCACTGAGCCAGGGCAGTGCCTCAATTTAATGTGCACTATTTCTGGCAGTCTGCTTAGGCCTTTAGTTTTGTCACGGGGCCCCAAAAAGGTTCACCATCACTGGCCTAGAAGCAGGCACCAAGAAGGCCCTGCCTCCCTTGTTTGCACCAGATGAGCCTGAAAGGGTGATGGGACAGAGAGAAAGAACTCTCCAGATGACTCAGCACTCTAATGGACTAATAAAGGGAGATACCTTCCTTCAAATAACCTAGACCCAAGCCGCATAGGGTTTTATAGGTCAAAGCCAGCACTCAATTATACCTGGAAATGGACTGGCATTCGATTTGGATTCCTGTTGGGAGCTGCTGCAACAAGGGAGTTGTATGCTCCCTGTAGCCAGCTCCAGTTAATAGCCTGGCAGCATCTCTTTGAGCCAAGTGAAGTTTCTGAGCACTTTTCAAAGGCAGCCCCATGTAGAGTGCATAACAGTAATCCAAATGGGATGTAACCAAGGCATGTACCACTATAAGTTACCCTCCAGGTGCGGTACATCCATATTCACTTCAAGATTGCAGAAGTGGAGGTGTGCATGCAGGGTCATGGAGGTGCCCAGTTGCAAAATGTTACCATTCTGCACAAGGTGTGCATTTCTCAGTCAATCCAGAACAGTTCATTTCTGGACAGAATTCAAAGGGCTAGTTATAACCTACAAAACCTTTATGCCTTAGGCCCAGACTATATGAAAAACCTGCCTGAATTTTTAGATCCTCAGGGGACAGCTTTGTCTCGACCCCACCATCTTCGAAGGTACATTTGGTTAGGTCACTGGCTGCTCCAGCCTACATAATAATGGCAGATGAAGGTGGTTTTCTTTGAACTGGTGATTAAGTGTCTGTGCAGATAAGTCTTTAATGGGGTTTGAGATTTGGTAATTCCAGCCTCTGAGACAAGGCTACATGATCAACTTCCTACTTGGTCTCTCCCGCAGGTGCTGGAATGATGCCACCACCAAGTACACAGTTTTCTCTTCCTGTTTGCAATGGAGTGGAACCAGCTGAGGTAAGGAGAAGGATTCCTGATACAAGAGGGCTGGAACAGCCTGGGTGTCCTTAGTTCTGGGCTCACATCCCTGGTAGTATTAATTTTGTTTCATTTTGTTTTGCATTACGACAAAATGACCAAAGCCCAGAAATTTCTTCATATTCTTAGTGAAAAGAAGTGGTACTTTTAAAAATATGAATGTGGGAGTAATGTGAATTGAGACACTCAACCACCATGGCCCAGGGGTTTGAGCACTGCACACTTGAAAGTTTGGGTTTGAATCCCTGTGTATTCAACCGGTCTAGTCCTGAGTTAAAGTTGCTGTCCTTATTCTCTATTTTTTCTTGGCTACAGAAGAAAAGGTAATGGAAGAAAGGGTAATTGGATCCAAACGAACCTTCTGTTTTCCTCTCACAAAACATAGAATGTAAGACAGGTCCTGCTAGGCCAGACCAAAAGCCCATCTAGTCCAGCATCCTGGTTCCCACAGTGGCCAGTCAGAAGCCTCTAGGAATCTGGAAATCCATGTGTGAAAACCATAACCCTTTCTCTCTCTTGCTTTTCTTCCCCAGCAGCCAGTATTCACAGGCATGGTGCCTCAGCTAATGAACCTGTCAGACAGGAATGTTTCAGTCCTAAAGGTCTTTCACTTTGTTCCTTGATAGCCTTGTGAACTGTGAGCAGAAAATGTTTTCTTTTTCCTCCAGGGTCCAGTGACCTTTGAGGATGTGGCTGTCCATTTCTCCCCAGAGGAGTGGACTCTTCTGGATCCTGATCAGAGAGCCCTGCATGCACAGATCATGGAGGAGACCCACGTGATCATGACCTGTCTTGGTAAGGCTCCCTGACTGATGATCATTTTTGTTTCGTAATGCAGTAATCACAAGGACCATAATAATGCTGCTCCTGAGTGGGATCAGTATCCTAAATCTTACCAGTCACTGGGAGCTTCCTGGAGGCAGGACTGGGGAATGTTTGGAAACTCCAGTTCCCAACAGCCCTCACAACTCAGGCCAGTACTCCTTTCAGCTTGGCCAGTAGTGAGGCATGATGGAAATGGTAGTTCATCAGTGCCTGGAAGACCTTAAGTACCCCACCCCCACCCTCTTTTGTTTAATTTTAATACTTTTTATTTATATTCACAATGGT